CTCAAGCCGTTGACATGCTTGAGGTGTTCGTTACGGAAGTCGAAAGACAATTAGATAGAAAAATTAAAGTTATACGATCAGATCGGGGTGGGGAATACTATGGCAGATATGATGAGTCGGGACAAATCCTGGCCCATTTGCTAAATTCTTAGAAAAGCGTGGTATTTGTGCTCAATACACGATGCCTGGAACACCACAGCAGAATGGAGTTGCTGAACGTCGTAATCGTACTCTTATGGATATGGTTAAGAGTATGTTAAGTAATTCAACTGTACCCATTTCACTTTGGAATGAAGCCTTGAAAACCGCTATGTATATCTTAAACCGGGTAAGGCAGTCCCAACAACTTCCTACGAGCTGTGGACTGGTAGAAAACCTAGTTTAAGACATTTACATGTTTGGGGTTGTCCTGCAGAGGCTAGAATATACAATCCAAATGAAAAGAAATTGGACCCTAGAATAATTTATGGATATTTTATTGGTTATCCACTAAAGTCAAAAGGGTACAGATTTTATTGTCCTAACCATACTACGAGGATAGTTGAAACTGGAAACGCCAAATTCTTAGAGAATGGTGAAGTTAGTGGGAGTGTTGAATCAAGAAAGGTAGAACTTGAGGAAATTAGGGTGAATATTTTACCATCTTATTTCCCTCAAGATGAAGTTACTCTTCAACCTATACAGCAGGTTGAAACAAATGATTCGCCACTCCATTTACCATTCCATGAAGATGTCATCATTGGCAATACTGTAGAACCACCACAACCGATAGCTTTGAGGAAATCTCAAAGGGAAAGGAAATCTGCCATATCCGATGATTATGTGGTGTATCTACAAGAATCTGATTTTGATATTGGTATTCAAAATGATCCAGTTTCATATTAACAAGCCATGAAAAGTAAAGATTCTAGTAAATGGATTGATGCTATGAATGAAGAGTTGAAATCAATGGACTATAACGGTGTCTGGGATCTTGTCGAATTGCCTAAGAACAGTAAGAAAGTCGGTTGTAGATGGGTCTTCAAGACCAAACGTGACTCTAAAGGCAATATCGAAAGATTTAAAGCTAGACTAGTGGCCAAAGGTTTCACTCAAAAAGAATGCATTGATTATAGAGAAACTTTCTCTCCAGTATCTAAGAAAGACTCTCTTAGAATCGTTATGGCTCTTGTAGCTCATTATGATTTGGAGTTACACCAAATGGACGTGAAACCGCTTTTCTGAATGGGGATTTAGATGAAGATATCTATATGGACCAGCCTGAAGGATTTGCAAAACAAGGAAATGACACTTGGCTTGTAAATTAAAGAAATCCATATATGGACTTAAACAAGCTTCTAGACAATGATATATCAAATTCAATGATACCATTACTTCATTTGGATTTAAGGAAAACACTGTTGATCAATGTATATATCTAAAGGTCAGTGGGAGCAAGTTTATCTTTTTAGTCTTGTATATGGATGATATTTTTTCTAGCAAGTAGTGATCTTGGTTTGCTTCACGAAACTAAGACTTATCTTTCCAAGAATTTTAAGATGGTTGATATGGGTGAGGCAAATTATGTTATTGGGATAGAGATCTTTAGAGATCGATCTCGAGGATTGTTAGGCTTGTCTCAGAAATGATATATCAATCGAGTTCTTGAAAGATTTAATATGCAGTTTTGTTCAGCCATTAATGCTCCTATCACGAAAGTTGATAAATTAAGTGAAAAGTAATGTCCAAAGAATGATTTGGAAAATGAGAAAATGAAATTGATTCCATATTGATAAGTGTTCGTTTTGCACGATTTTTGCTTATCAAATCCTCGAGTTTTGGTCTTCGTTCGTCCGAGTTTCGGCTTTATTTGTATATATTATTGCGTTTCTTGTTTTATTTCTATTTCAGGGTTTTATTAGGTATTTTTGCCGAGTCGAAGCCATTTGAAAGCGAAACCGAACTTTCAATTCAATTTTTAGGCCAAGAAGACCCAGATCGCGATCTGACATTCCTGGATCGCGATCTGGGGGTTGTCACAGCGAAAATGGATCAAGACCCAGATCGCGATCCAAACAACCCGGATCGCGATCTGGGGGTGCCGACAGAGAAGAAACAGGGGTCAAACCCAGATCGCGATCCAGGAAGCCGGATCGCGATCTGGGGGGTCCAACAGAGAAGAAATAGGGTTCAAATCCAGATCGCGATCCAGGAAGCCGGATCGCGATCTGGCATGGCGGTGGGCAGTTCCCCGAGGCTGCCAGATCGCGATCCAAACAACCCGGATCGCGATCTGGGCACGATTTTTGAGAAAGATATTTTGTTTTGCAAAGCTTCTTGAGGAAGCTTTGCATTTCACTATAAATAGAAAGGCCCTTTCATTCTTCATTCCTTCTTCGACTTTTTACGGTTTTCGACGGTTCTTCGCGGGAATCATCAACGGGGGTTCTGACTTGGGTTTTTCTTACGCAATTTCTTTACGTTTTGTTCTTCATTTCCTTTGTACATTCTTTTGATACTATGTTTGTTATGAACTAAGAACATTTTCTTCTAGGGCAATGAAGCCTTGTATATATTGATTTCGATCGTCATTTCTGTTATCTATTTGTCGTGTTTTGATTTCGTTTATGTTTTCCTGTATTAAATGCTTCTGATTGTGTTGATCAGCTCTCAGATTGATATTAAATAGGAATGAACTCGAGAGAGGATTTCTTGTTTGAAGTTAGGAAAACATAGCTCGGGGTGTGGAAACGGAGACGTGATGCACTTGGGTAGCCCTTAAGGACTTGACCTAAATGCTCTCTTAATAGCAGGTTCTGAACGGAGACGTCGGACCTGTGGGTAGACTCTAACTACACTGGAGACGGGGGTTAGAGTACTTTAGTGTCTGGGTTAACGAATAGGAATGTGGCATTAGATAACGGATTTGTAGATCGTTGTTGATTTTACATAGGTGGATTTGGCCCTAGAAGTCCCCTTAAATTGAAGTCCCCACGTTGAGTTATCGTTACTTTATTTACGTACATTCTATATTTGCATGTTTACGATCTTGCATGCTTATAAATTAGGGTTTACCACCAATCCACTTATTTACGATCGGCTAGATAATATAACGATAATATAATTACACTACTCAGCATTTGAATCTACAAGGTCCCTGTGGATCGATATCCGGAACCACTGTTCTGCAAAATGCGATACCGTATACTTGCGGTAATTCATACGTAGGTTTTACGCGTATCAAGTTTTTGGCGCCGTTGCCGGGGACCAATTTTGATTTTATCTTTGTTGATAATGTTACCAATTATCTGACTATTACTTTAGCTATTTACCTGCTTTATTTTCGATTTATACCTTGATTTTAACCGATCACTTTGTTTATGCCCAGGCGTCGAAATTTGGAAATCATACCTTACGATCCCGAGATTGAAAGGACACTTCGTAGACTAAGGGCCACACGCAACCAACAAAGTGAACCAATGGCCGACGATCAAGGAAATCCAGAGCACCTGGCCTTTGAATACGATCGAGAGCCAGGACGAGATCACGAGCAGCCAAGACCGAACCTGCCACCCGAGCGAACAATGCGAGAATACCGAACTCCAGCTTTGAATGAGAACTATTCGGGAATCAGGAAACCGACGATAGCCGCAAACAACTTCGAGCTAAAGACGGGGCTAATCAACATGGTCATGGCGAACCAATTCTCCGGAGCAGCCACTGCAGATCCAAATCTCCATCTTGCCAATTTCTTGGAGATTTGTGACACAATCAAAGTTAACGGTGTTTCTGATGATGCCATCCGGTTGAAGCTATTCTCATTTTCTGTCAGAGATAAAGCGAAGAGTTGGCTTCTGAGTCTTAATCCAGGATCACTCACCTGTTGGGAAGAATTATCACAAGCCTTTCTGGCACGATTCTTTCCACCCTCGAAGACCGCACAATTACGAAGAGATGTAGGCAACTTCAGACAAATGAGCCAAGAGCCGATGCACGAGTCTTGGGAGAGATTCAAGAACTTATTACGACAATGCCCTCAACACGGATTCAACCCGTGGGATCAAATGGAGTTATTCTACAATGGGCTCGATCAACCAGCCCGATCTTTAGTCGATGCTGCCTCAGGTGGATCATTGCAAAACAAGACTCCCACAGACGCTCGAGACATTGTCGAGCGAATGTGTGAGAATGCTTACCATTGGCCGTCCGAACGGAGTAGTATACAAAAGGTGGCCGGAGTCCACCAACTCGATCCTTTAGCCGCAGTTTCAGCACAATTAGCGACCCTATCAAATCAGGTCGCCCAAATTTCAGTTCGAGGGCCACAGACCGAACGAGTAGCAGCAGCAAGTACTTCACAAGCCACAAACGACGATTGGGAGCAGGCACACTTTATGAACCACCGATTCAACAATTTCCGGGGAACCCACAATCAGAACCAAAACCCTACTCATTACCACCCGGGAATTCGGAATCACGAGAACTTCTCCTATGCCAATCCAAAGAATGCTCTACAACCACCTCCCGATTTCAATCATCAAAGAGAGCAACGAGGGCCAACGTATGACGAGCGTCTTCACCGACAAGAACAGGAAATGGAGGGCCTGAAATCAACAATGAAGAACATGGAAAAGCAAATAGGGCAAATCGCCCAATCCATGTCCACAATGGCCAAAGGTGGATTTCCGAGCAATACCGAAGTCAATCCAAAAGAAAGCTGCCAAGCCATAACCACCCGAAGTGGTTTGCAAATGACCGATCCTCCTTATCCGACGGACGAGTCACCAAGGCCAGCTATACAACCGACCCCGGTCGAGCCGGAAATCACCATTTCAGGGAGTGGTACAAAAGAGGCTAGTAAGCCCAATAACATTTTTTTTCCTGATAATCCCCCTCTTTTGATAACTCCTATTCCTTTTCCAGAAAGACAGAAGAAAAAGAAGTTCCAGAATCAATTGAAGAAGTTCATTGAAAAGATCAAACAGATTCGAATCAACATCCCTTTTGCAGAAGCCTTGGAGGTAATGCCAAACTACACCAAGTTCATGAAGGAAGTTCTATCCAAGAAAATTCGGATCGAAGAAGACATACCAGTGACACTCACGGCAACTTGCAGTGCCATTCTTCAGTCGAATCTACCACCGAAAATGAAAGATCCAGGGAGTTACACTATTCCTTGTATTATTGGAAATTCTACTTTCGATAAAGCTTTATGTGATTTGGGGGCAAGTATTAATTTGATGCCTATGTCTGTGTTTCTAAAACTGGGCTTAGGAAATTTGAACCGCACTCGCATGACTTTACAACTAGCTGATCGTTCATTGAAATATCCCGATGGGATTGTAGAAGATGTGCTAGTTAAAGTAGATAAATTCATTTTACCTGTTGATTTTGTGGTACTTGAAATGCCTGAAGATGATGAAGCACCTATCATTTTGGGTCGTCCATTCTTAGCCACTGGTAAGGCGATGATTGATATGGAATTAGGATCTTTAATGCTTAGGGTAAATGGGGAAGAAGTTGTTTTTAATTTGACAGATGCATTTAAACACTCTGAGCATGTTGAGCAGTGCAGTAGAATAGACGTGATCGAGGACTGTGTTTCTTCCTTTTTTGATTCGTATGAATTGTGTGATTCTATTGAGCACTGCATTGTTAATTCTATTGATTTGCATTATGCCTCCCCTGAAACTCCTATTGAAAATGATGTGCTTGATTGTGTGTTGTTTCTTGAGTGTGCCGAGATTTTAGGCGTAGACGAGGTACGAATTGTCCCCGAGATACCAGTTAGTGTGAAAACGGCCCCCGTACTGGAATTGAAACAATTACCGGATTATCTTTGTTATGCTTTTCTTGGAGCAGACAAGACTTATCCGGTGATTATTTCTTCTAGTTTGAGCGAGGCCGAAACAAACACACTGCTGGAGGTCCTTAGAGAATATAGGTCGGCTATAGGTTGGTCTATTGAGGATATAAAGGGAATTAGCCCGTCTATTGTTCAACACAAAATTCTGATGGAAGACGTCTATAAACCGAGAGTCCAACCTCAGAGGCGGTTAAACCCGTCAATGAAAGAGGTAGTCAAAAAAGAAGTCTTAAAACTGTTAGGCGCTGGTATGATTTATGCAATTTCTGACAGTCCGTGGGTCAGTCCGGTGCAGGTTGTGCCAAAAAGGGGTGGGATGACGGTTATTGTGAATGATAAAAATGAACTTATTCCGTCTAGAACAGTCACTGGGTGGCGTGTGTGTTTCGATTATCGACTATTGAATGCAGCCACCAGAAAATACCATTTCCCCCTTCCCTTTATCGATCAAATGCTAGACAGGCTAGGAGGTTTCGAGTATTACTGTTTTCTTGATGGTTATTCGGGGTACAATCAAATTTCAATCGCCCCGGAAGACCAAGAGAAAACTAATTTTACTTGCCCCTACGGTACTTTTGCATTTCGTAGGATGCCTTTTGGTTTGTGTAATGCACCTGCTACCTTTCAACGATGTATGATGTCTATTTTTCATGATATGGTAGAAGAATTTCTTGAAGTGTTTATGGATGATTTTTCTGTGTTTGGATCGTCTTTCGATCATTGTGTGCATAATCTAGAACTTGTTTTAAAAAGATGTACAGAAACGAACCTGGTTTTAAATTGGGAAAAATGTCCTTTTATGGTTCGTGAAGGTATTGTTCTAGGCCACAAGGTCTCAAAAAAGGGTCTTGAGGTGGACAGGGCAAAAATCGAAACGATTGAAAAATTGCCTCCACCGAAAGATGTCAAGGGGGTTAGAAGTTTTTTAGGGCATGCTGGGTTTTACCGTAGATTTATTAAAGATTTTTCGAAAATAGTAAAACCATTATGTCACTTGCTTGAGAAGGAAGCCGTCTTTGATTTTGATTCTGCTTGTTTGCAGGCTTTCACGTTTCTCAAGGAGAAGCTAACCCAATCACCGATTATGATTACTCCCAATTGGGAGGAACCATTCGAGATCATGTGCGATGCGAGCGACTAACTTGTAGGTCTAGTATTCGGACACAGGAGGGCTAAAATTTTCAAACCATCTACTATTCGAGTCGTAC